AAGACACGGAGAGCCAATTTCCACAGGGGAGATACTTCTCCCCAAGGTCATAAATGCCTTTCATGTGGGCAGCTGAGCTGGAGCGGCTGTGAAAGCTTCCTCCCCACTGCCAGGCCTCTGGGGCACGGCCGTGCTGGGGGAATGCCTGCATTCGGTGGGCTGCGGGCACCGCGTGCTGGCCGAACGAAGGAGCGGTCACCCTTCATCTCTGCCCAGGCACTGGGGTTTCTTTCAGAACTGGAAAACAGGAAACTGGGTCACGGCATGGCCAGGCCAAGCGCTGGCTCCTCCATCGGCCTCTGCCGAGCTGGGGATGTTCATCAAAGGTGACCGTGTCCCAGCTGGGAGAAATCTGCCCGGAGAAATGGGGACGAGAGCTGCACGCTGTTCAGCCCATGCGAGCATGCGCTGGCTGGGGCTTAGCTCTGCTCAGGGTGCGTCGTTTAAATCACAACGTGGAGTTAAGCAGTGGGAATTGCTTCTTGGACAAGTTTTTTTAAAGTATTTAAGATGCAGCAAAGTAGAGCCTTGGCACATAGACTACTTTTCTTTTTTTCAGGTGTTCAGGTGCCTAAATCTCTTGGAAAAAAACCCCAACAAACCACAACCAGCACTTCCACCTCTTGGAAACAGCAGCAGCAATCTCCCCAATGTTAGAACCAGGGATCTGTCAACACAAAGCCGTGACTGTTCAGCAGTGACCTTTCGAGCCCAAACCCCACATTATTTGGCTCTACAAAATGCTGGCTTTCAAACAGTCCTTCAGACCAGAAAAACTGCAGAGAGCAGAGCTCCGAGGAGAACAGAGGAGGTTCGTTTTGTAGTGGGTACCCTGCTCACTACTGCCAACGCCCCAGTTCCCAGGTTATGGAGGAATTTCCAAGGGCTGTGGCCAGACACATCCCGGTGTCGAGCTGAGCAGCGTACACAGCCCCAGTGGGGCCGTGATCCCGCTCTTTCCGCTGTGTGCAGTTCATCTCCAGCTTCCCGGAGTCCTCCCTTTCTCTGGCCCCTTTTCCCCTCTCGCCTCCCCTGCACTTTCCAGCTCGTCATCTCTGATCTCTTCTGAATTGGAAAGTAAATCAGGGCTAAGTGTCAGGCTCTCTCTTTTTAAAGACTGATGTTCAAATGAAGGCTTCCCCTTCCTATCTTAATAACTTAATGAAAGCACTGTCAGTAGAAATCTCTTGCTCAGCAGCATATGCTGGGGAGGAGCTCAAGTGGGAAAGGCCGTAAGTAAACACAGAACGATGGAAGATGATGTAACTGGCCCAAATGGGCCAATTAAATTTCCAGTATCAAAGAAATGGTTCTGCTCTACCTGGTAACTGCAGGCACTTTTGGCAGAGAGGAGAAAATCGGAGCAGGGTGCGTACTGAGCATCGTTTGTGGCGTGCAGGCAGAGGAAGATGGATGACTGCAGAACAGGCAGCACAGGGAACTGCCACAAGAAGTCAAGCTGCTACAGCCGATTTCCTCTGAAACTGCCATGTGCCAGGGAACTCGGCCCTGGGGACCACCCTGCTCACCCTTCAGCTGCTTCCCTCATTTTGACTCTTATTATTTCAAAGAAGGCATTTGCTTATCTTCCTTGTTTGTAAAACAGGCAAATGGAGGCCACATCACCAGGCCTTACATAAAAGGGTTCAAGAAATCGCAGCGCTCGGTCCCTGCACTGCCACAGCTCTTGGAAAAGAAGAGGTCAGCATTGCACTAAGGTTCCCAGAAATAACGCTTCTTTCAGAAAGGTTTTCTTATGACAGCTCTTAGGAACAAGGCTAAACGTCTTTCTTCACCCTAAAATTACATGCTACCCAAATGACTGCTCCTAAGATCAAAATGCACAAAAACAAACCACCAACTCGTCGTCAAATTTGAATAATTTGTATTATTTATTGGCTGTATTAAATATATTATCTATTTGATAGTTACAATTTAGTAATACAATGCATGGCAGCTTTAACATAAGTTTGAGATACCTCAAAATTACAATACAAGAAAACCAAAGATACCTAATACATTAATGCCACTAGGGTCTATCGCTCTGGAGCGGACACCAGCTGACGTAAAATCCGTACTGCGGTGGGCTTTCCTGGATACTTCCTGGAGTATTTTGTGGCAGTTACAGAAGAACTTTCACTTTTTAGGAGTCACGACTTGTTAGTATTTACTCTGCAACCCTAATTCATCTTTTAAAATTATCCAGAAATATTATTGCCAAATGAACCTCTACAAACTTCGTTCTAAGAGTTAAAGAAATAACCCTTTGGCAACAGATTTGCTGAAGGCAGTCTTATTTGCTAAAAGTAGACTATGAAAAGAAATAAAGACAGATTGTAAACTCTTCTGCAAACTAAAGACTAATATCTGTATAAAACTCTTGCCGACACTGGAGGGAGAGATTTCTATGATATAATAAATGATTAACTTAAAGTTCTGCTACAAGTAGAACAATACATTCAAACATACATTTTCCAGGACTTTTAATCAAAATAAATAGAGTACAAAATGAAGAGTACATTTTGAAAAGATTAATTTCAGATTGCACCATAAATCTACTTTTAAGAGTATTAAGCGATACTATGTCATAATTTAGGTTTCCCACATCTGAAATACAACACAATGCCTCAAACTACAACGCAACATTATTCATCAACTGCCATAGGAGAAAGACCCTTAAAGTGATTAATTACTGGAAATACTTCGCCTGCAGCACTGTCACATCCAACATTCCACGTACAAGTGCATTGCTTTCCTGGATATAAAGTGTAGCCGTAGTCTGCAAAATACGCTAAATCTGCCTTTCCGTGGCATATTCCAAATGCTGTTAGGAAGACCCACTCTGAAACACGTTTGAATGTGCGAGTTCCAGCTTTCAAAACACTTGCTATAAAGAAGACAGCTGTCAGACTCATCTGTAGGTGTTCGCACGCTGATTTAACACAAACGGTCGCATGTAGTGCACAGTGTCCACGAAAAATCCCCACAACCCCCGGACAAACAGGACGCGCTTCAGAAAAGTTCACAGCAGGCTGAACATTCCCACCTAGGAAACTATGGAATGTGAAGCTGCTACCCCTGGGATAGCAAGTCCTTTAAAACATTGTAGAAATGTTATCTAAAAAGAGTTCTTTCACGTACAATTTGATAATTCGGATTAAGTTAGAAGGGCATCCAAAAGCAGTTTGAACTTTTTATTTTTTTAGGTTAACAATAGTACAAAAACATTTGCTCAGTTTGAGCCAAATAGTGTAACATTTATCATAAATGCACTCTTTCTCCTTAAAGACAACACCTGTGCTTTTCTGAAGACACTGCAAAGATTTCATCAGAAGCACAGGAAATTACTTTTCTCTCAGGCATTGAGAGTGAAATGTGGATTGGGCCAAGAGCTGCTCCCCAACAGCAGAAAGCATTTCGTTCAGAAATGTACGATACAAAAGGGGCCTTTCTGCAACGGTACACACGAGCACCTCTGCTCTATGCACATCACGTCCCGTTAACGGTTTTTTTTGTCTAGCATTTTGATTAAAATTCTAAAAATGCTGGCACCCTCTACTTTAACACTTGACATGATTATGACTGAATCCAAAATATTAAAATAACTGTAAAGTAGTAATATCGCTAAGTCAATATTTTGCTTTCCTTCTACAGCAGATTAAATGTGGTATGCTCTAGTAATGTCTGCAATACAGTACTGCTCTAAGCTTAAGCATTTGTGCTGCTGTATTTCACGTATACCAAACTACGATACCTGATTAAACAGCGCGGCTCGACTACCACTGCTCTGGTTGTACTTGAAGAGGATGTTCTACCAATGCCTTCTCTCTCCAACCGGCCAAAGGGCACCGCGTGGAATTTGGAGAGAGGAAGAGTGTGCACACACGCACGCGTACACAGTAAGGCAGTTTTTTTGCTGTTTTATTAACAGCTAACCCTGATTACAGAGGACCCAGGATTACCCTTTCTACAAGAAATCTGTGTTCAGTATTTGGAAAGGATCTGCCAACCCAGCCTCACTGTTAGCCAGCAGCAAAAGTGGAAACGCACGTAACTATACATTTCCAGCTAGGATTTTAATTAGAAGTAACCATAAATACCCGAAATAGCTTCTGTACAAAAAGCTGAGTACTGAGTAGGCTCTCGTTTACTTGATTACAAAGTACTGAATAACGACAGCAAATAAAATAGCGACCACCGCAAACCCGCAGAGAAGAACGATGGCGATGAAGCGCTCTTCGCGTAACGTCTTCTTAGTCTCTGCCAACTCCGTCGTCAAATCGGCGCACGGTGGAACCAGCTCCTGTTTCTGAGATGAAAACACTGTACTGGGACTGTAAGGTCCATACAGTTCCTGTGATCCAGTGGAGTCCTGGAACTGACGGCCAGCGCAGACTCTGATCCGATATTCACAGTTTGTCTGCAAGCTCATGAGACGGAAGGAAGTGTCTGGTCCCTTGTATACCTAGTGAGGAGAGAGATCCGTTTTACACGGGATTCATCTCACAAGCAGCACACGACACTTCCCACTCTGCTCTACAAGCACACGCAGCGCTGGACGCTGCTTGCAGTTGCCTTCTTAATACATTCTCAGCTTTTTTTCCCTGAAAAATTTATGATTCATTTTCTTGTGAATAACCCAAAGCTTCCTGCGATGCCCCACACTGACAGACCTGGATTGCGAAGCTCAGAAAGAAAAAAAACCATTAAAAAATAATTCTGCACAACTGTGGTTCTGTACAGTTCCCCCACAAATGTGGGCAAGTGCTGTCTATGACTAATAAAGGCAGTGATGCCACAGGATCGAAAGAGCCAAGGGAAATGCTGGGAGAACAGGCTCAAACTGTGTTAACCAGCTCCCAGATTTATCAGCTCTCTCAGTAACTCTCAAGCCTGCCTTCACAATCATTTGCTTTCACAGTCGGGGCAACAGGGAAAGGAAACTTTATGATCTTTCATCTCGGGCAACCTTTGATGCCGTGAAGAGGCAGAACAGCAGGACCCTCTGCTGGAAGCTGTCCCCACCCATCACAAAATTTTAAGTTTCACTGAGAAGAACTGAAACGAAGCACACTGGGAGTAAGGCCTGTGAAATGAGTCCCTTGCTGAAATGAGAACTATCCCTGCCACTAGCATCACAAAACAGAATTTGAACCTTCAAATACAGCCATCTTTCTTTGCAATAATTTTTCAAAGCAAAAAAACCCTCAAGATGTTAAATAAAAGGTACCTGATCAAACTCTCTGCCAGCAGCAAGCTGAAGGATGTAAACAATGGAATCTCCTTTCATCGGCTGTAAGGGTTCCCATGTGATTTCGTAAGTGTTTTCTTCCAGCTGATTTGCTTTGGGTGCTAGAAGAAGTGATTTGTTGGCATTTTAGAAAAGAGAACAATGGTCTCTACAAGTGTTCTTGTTTTGTCAATCAGAAGGGCCCAAAATCACCAATTACAGTGACCCATTTTCACAGTTAATGCAGCAAATGGGCACTGGTTTCAGTGACAACAAGGAAGTTTTCTCTCTCTGGTTTATTTGATTTCATATGCTTTTTTGGTTCTAATGCAGGTGACTGCGCAGTGTAAATCTAAAAGTTTACAGTTTTTCCAGTATATTTGTTAACAATGTAGAGGCAACAACCATTCCAATAATTTTAAGCAATTAAGATTTGTTTCACTCTATTTTTTTGTTATATTTCATGACTTAAGCTTAAAAAATGATCATAGTAGTATTTGCAGGTTACACTTGTCTGTCTTTTCAAGCTGACAGGATGAGCTTCTGATGTCTAATGCTTGAAAGTGCTTGCTCCTCTGTACAAGTCACTAGAGAAGACAGCATTTATGGCCAGGTATCTCCAGAGCTGAAGCTACATGTTACAAACATGGGTGAGTAAGCTAATTTTCCTGCAGGTAATCAGCATTCTGATCTACAGAATGAGTGACTTTCTCCAACAGCAGTCTTTAATGTCACATTAGAAAGTGCAGACCAGAGAAATTGTGTTCTCATTTGCCCACATGGGTAAACGATCAATAACCCTGAAAAATTACTTCCCAGTTGAAAATGTGTAGAAATCATCTTTGTTGTCAGGGGTGGAAGAGCGAGGGTGCAGGAGTGGGCCATGCACTGGTCCTACACCAGAGTCCTTCTTATACCGAGATAAAGCCCACCAGAGTCAGCTCACCTTTAAGAGACGCGGGTGGAGACTTAGTCGTAGTGAAAGCGTAAACTTCAGAAAACTCTCCCTCTCCAGCATCGTTATATGCCTGGATTTTAAAATAGTACGTAGTGGATTCACTGAGTCGCTGTACCTTGTACGTATGACAAGGACCATTATAAACAGTAACAAACCTGGAAGAAAAACACAGAATATGTACCAGTTACAGAATCACAGAACGTTAGGGATTGGAAGGGACCTCAAAAGATCATCCAGTCCAATCCCCCTGCCAGAGCAGGAACACCCAGATGAGGTTACAGTTAGTAGTTAGTATTATTCAGTAAGCACAAATTTGTAAGGCAGTATCACAAGTGGAACTTTCATACCCAAGTACAAAGAAGTGACAACACATTCCAGGTACCCCAGCTTTCTACATGCATGCATGGTAACTATTAGGCAATTTGAGCTCTACTAATGTCATCCACAGTTCATGAGGTGCATTTCATCAGCAGGACACGCCGTCATAATTTACATTCACAAAGCATTGATTCAACTTGTCCAAGCACTAAGCTGCAGCTGTATACAGGCTACCACTAAAACTATGGAAGATGCTAAGATACTGCTATTTAAATTGTATTTACTGCTTACAAATACATACTAGCACAGCAGCTATTAACAGCATTTCTGGTTGAAAGATTGGATGCAAACTAAGGGGCAAACTTTGGGATGCCCAAGTGCAAACTTACTAGTGCAAACAAAAGTGAAAATACTTAATATGTCTTAAAAACTTGATATGAAGTTGTAAAGCAAAAATATCCTTCATGTTCTGATTATCTTACCTGCCAAACCTGTCCTCCATCTGCAAGTTGAACTGTGTAGGGTTAGTAATTAAAGCTCTGCTAGGACCTTCACCCCATTTAAGTTTAAGGCTCTGGTAGCTGAAGACCACGCATTCAAGATGAGGAGGGTCAGGAGGTAGTGGTTTCGTTTTGGCTTTAATGGAATGACTGAAAGGACCAACTCCAAAGCTGTTTATGGCCTGTATTCTAATTCTAGAAATGTGAGAAAAGCAGTTACATGGTTAATTTACTGAGGTCCTGAAAAAATACTAGGTAATAAAGCAAGAGTAAAAATTTGTAAAGAATGTAACTCCAAACAATAAAACAATTAAAATGCAGTTAGAAATGAACTATAAAAATAATCTACTTCAAAACAACTCCACATAATTACACTGTTTTCAACATAATCAAGCTTCAGTGTTTCTCAGTATTGTTCAAGGTTTACTCTGTTCAGTGAACAAGTGCCCAGGTCATCCACATTAACCCAAACTGTGCCTCCTGCTGACACTGCAGATCCACGATCTGAAACACAGCCTTCTCCAAGCCTAAGCATGCTGCACAGGAACAGCTACTCTACTCCGTGCATTCATCCTCTTTCTGTGAGATACTGATCATCCCATTATAAGCATTGCATCTGAATGTAAAATTCTAAACCCAGAAAACTCAAGACTGAAGCCTTGGCTGTGAGACAAAACGTTCACCTTAAGACAGCAATCTTAACTTGTACTGCTAAAACATCACGGTTACATTCTGGATTATTTCTTTTTTCCAGAGTTGCAGAGTGAATTAGGCAATCAGTCCCTAAGATGAATGAAAAATTGCTCTGAAAATTTAACACACTACCCTCAAAGCTATTGATTGAAAATCCTACGAATGTGGTTTCAGAATAAAACATTTATTTATTACCTGTACAGAGTGTCAGGCAGCAGATTCTCAAGAACATGGCTTGTATTTCTTCCAATGGTTACAAGCTGCTTTTCCCCATATTCTATATTATATCCGGTGATCTCTGACCCATGACAACACGGTTCTTCCCATTGAATTGCAAGGCACGTTGATAAAGGAAGAGAAATTTCCATCTGATCTTCTTCAAGTAAATGCAGTACTGATACTGCTGCAGGCACCGAGGCGGGGGTTGTCACCACACCAGTCTCACCAAACAACCCAACTCCAGTGACGTTCACAGCCTGGAACAGAGATCCTGTATCGTAAATCTAAGCTTTTCTAACCGACAGTCACATCTATTACGCTTCCTTGTGCATGTCATTAAAAGCAATTTGGAAGAGAATGGAAAATGTCCAACATAAAATGTAAATATGGCAAGATGTCTGGTAATTTAATGCAACACTAGATCTAAATTTCATTTCTGGAAACATGTGGTAGGGAGGGACAGAGGGGAGAAAGGAAAGCATTTTTACCTTCTATGTTGCAACAGTAGGTGACCGCAATTGCACTAATCTCCAGCTGAAGCTTTTGTTCAAACTGTGTGTACTTGTTCACTTGCCTCATAACACACAACAAAAGGCTTTTCATACCTGTACCCTGCAGTAATACGTGGTTGCAGGTGTGAGACCTTTCACTTCATAGCTCTGGCAAGGGCCACTGTAAATGATGTGCATCGACCCTTCCACCTGTCCCCAGTCCAGTCTGTATTCACTGATTTCTGCACCATTGCACGCAGGACTCTGTGGGTTTAAGTGATAAATTTTCTTTCAGCCATTGCACGTACACCTGAGGTCTTTTCTACCACAGCCACGGGCATGATTTTAAGTACAGCTTGTTCAAAGGTTTCCATCTGGACCCGTGGCTGTAACACCACCACAGTTCAGACCAGAATTGTGAATTACTTCAAAATCTCTTATCATGTGGATGAATTAAACATATTATATACTAGTTACCATACCAGGAGGAGGACTGTCACCAAATTTATTCAGTTAAGATGGAAATTCATAGTTGACAACATTTACAAAACCAAAGTATACCTTTATAAAGAAACAGGCTTAAAATATTCCACTCTATACTTGTTATTTCTTCCATTTTTGTGTATCATACATGTGTCAAAAAAGCGCCAAATATTCATTTGTGTATTACTGAAAATCATTAACACCTACCTCCCAGGAAACTACAGCACAAGTTGCACTTTTACAAGTTATCAGGGGTTTGCAACATTGATCAGGGGGTCCTGGAGCAGTGGAGATCTCTGCTTTGTCAGAGTGAGGGCCAAACTGCAAGAAAATACAATTGCATGTATGCAGCAACAGCAGCAGAGCGAAAACTGATGTGCAAGCGCACAAACTGAAGAAAACGGATTATTTTTAACTTGATGGAGAAATAAGCAGAAGAGTTCAGAGCTTGGTTTCACAGCGCCGTTTAAAATTCCTTGCAGGTAGTTTACTCTATAAACTGGCCCTGTGCCTACAGGATATCTGTCATCCTCCCACCAACGCCCGCTGCTATGGTTTTGTAACAACTCCTCCTCCTGCAGTCAGGATCTGGCTTCCCGAAGCAGCTGGGTCCTGTTTCAGAAAGACTTTTATGCAACCAACACTGATGTCAACCTGGCATTATTTGAACACACCCATGTCTACACAATACTATTCCCACACCACCACTCTGCAGTCTACGCCGATTTTAAAACATCAGGCAACTTTTCCAGGCACAAACATTAAGTGGTTATTCACAGCCAGAAGTGTAGGGATTACATCGCAGCTAAAGAAGTTACTAAAACTGGTAAGAGAATGTCTAGCACTGACTTTGGAATAGTTATCTTAGGTACTGGTAGTAGTCAAATACAACACATAGTGAACATCCCCTTAGTTGGGGACATTCAGTCCCTCCTTCAAACCTAATTTACTGACTCTTTAAATTTACGCTGTAAGAAATTTTGCTCCTTTAACAGAACAACACAGAAGCTACAGAGTACCATCAGGCTTGTAAAACAATAGTGTATTACCATATTTTCTGTAAAAATAAAATAAAATACATATTTATGTCATTAGTGCAGCAGTTACCCCAACTTTATTTGCAGCTCGTATCCAGAAGCAGTATGTTCTCCCTGGAAGCAGATTATTTACTACATATTCAGATGCGGGACCCTGATACACTTGTCTGCGTTCATCATCTTCAGAGTCTGCCATCTCTAGAACATACTCTGTAATGTCAGATCCTCCATCTACAGACGGTGGGCCTAGGAAATAAAAGATTATTTTTTTCCCTATTAATTACACAAAACACTTTCTCTTCAATAGTTTCTAATTAGCCTTCTTGAGGAGTCAGATGAATTCTAAAAGTCAGAGTGTGGGCTTTTATCATATATCTAAGCAGAAACAGTTCATGAAGTTTGCTTTTTTCACTCCAGGTAAGTTTAAGATGGCCTTAGTATTTTTTTCATACGTTTTCCACAGATCTCCTTGAAAAAACACTATCTTCAGTATTTCTTAATTACCTCTCACTGAGATAAAAATGAGAAAAGGAGGGCTGATAAGTTGCTGAACAGGGGTCAGTATGAGGCACTCAGGAAGCTTTCTCACGAGAAGACATTTACGTCTGCTGAAGTCTCCCCATATGCACAAGCATACATCACCAAATCTGAGGTGGGTAGTGAGCTTTGGTCTTGTTATAAAACAGAACTAAGGACATGGACTACATCTACGTATTTTTAGTTTTTCTTCCCTGAAGAGTTCTACAGATCTCTCATTTTTGTTCTGACATAAAAACAGAAGAATACTTTGCTCAGAAACACTGGAGCTTACCCCACTGTAAAGTGATTTCCTTGGGCTTAGCTTTGCCTGCCAGGCATGGAGCGTGACACGGTCCAGGAGGAACAGCTGCTGTCGTAACGGTCATAACATCAGAAGCCTAGCAGAAAACACACGTTATTTTAGAGTGAAAACATGAAACAACAGCTCACTAAAGCATAAATAGGAAAGGTTTTTAGAAGCAAATTTATTCTCATTTTTCTCACCTGGCTTTCACCACCTTTACTGACACAATAAACTCGCATTCTGTACGAAGTGCCAGGCTTCAGATGATCGCACACGTGTTCTCTCTGGGAGCCACTGCACACGGTGTCCCATTTACTTCCTGAGGAAAAGAGGAAGATACTTTACACTGTGGAACTTTTGCAAAAATCTACCTTGAAAATTCTCTCACGCAATTATTAATTAAGAGATAATCAAGCCACAGAAGCCAACCCGAATGATTAATCATGCAAAGAACACGTACAACACAACATACGCATGCGAACACACGCTAGAGCAACGAGCAGTGAACCGAGTACGCTGAATTAGCACACAAGCTGAATTAGTACCTAGAAGTGATGGCTTACCAACTGATGTTTCTGAGACTTCCAAAAAGTATTTAGTAATGTCTGATCCTCCATTATCTTTGGGGGGTTCTGAAAGAAATCAACATCTTAAAATAAACTACAGAAGATTTTAAAACAACGCATTATTTTGATATCAGCTTTTTCAGGGAACGTATCTATTCGTGGTAAAATACATTCAAGCAGAAAGCTCAATTCAAACAGACAGACAACTGTGTACTTACATATTCAAATATCGTGTTTTCCAGAACAATACTTTTTTATTATTATTAATTGTGATCATGCCAGGAAGAGGAGTAACTAGGGCAAATACTGCCAATTTCAGGTATCATCTCTTACTTTTTTTTTATGAACACATAAAAATCACTTAAGCATCAATCTATAGGTTATTACAACAGCCAGCAGCATCGACTGCTTCTCCAAAACCAATAAGGAAAAACATTATTTCTGTACTAGAGACCTAAACAAATCAAGCTGACATTCTTTGGTAATGCTAAGCATTTCTCCTGTAATAACGGTATCTGCAGAGACAAATTAATCTGCACTACTGAGTGACCGTATGTACCCAGACTCCAATACAGCAGTACCAAAAGGGAACCTACCCCAGGTGACTTTCACGCTGTGCGAATGGATCTTGCCCTTTACAGCTGGTTTACCTGGCGGTCCAGGTTTGTCCGGATTGGTGCTGTGTTCTACCACCTCACTAGGGCTGCTTTTTCCTTCACTGTTGTAGGCAAAGAGCTATTCCAGGAATGAACGGAATATATAATAAACGCTTGAGTTAATGACAAGTAATATCCTGCTGATGTATAAACTTCTTCCGTAAAAAAACCCCAAAACCAACAAAACCACAACAGAAAAGACAGCAATTTAAAAGAAAACAAAATTAGCTAGCATAAAAAAAATCTGATGTGTGTTATGATTCTACCAAATACTATAACAACAACAAAAGTACTGTGGGTAATTTTCCGCTGTCTCCATAGAAAGTGTCTTAGCTGAAAATGCTAAAATTCCAGAGAAGATTACAGTCTTAATTAAATTAGAAACAAAATACAGTACAAACCCTGAACTTATAGGATGTACTCCTCCTAAGATTTCTTAAAGTGCATGAGAGTTCATCTCCATTGTACTGTGGCTGGAAACCATAACCCTGGAAAGGAGGGAAAGCAAGAACAAACAGTCACTAATTTTCCACACTAAAACAAAAACCAGATCAGATTGAACGAGTGGTTTTTTTAGTCTGAACGTCATCTTTGCCTCATGAATACATGCAATAGTTGCCAACTGTTGCACTATCTTGCAATGTTTTATTTGACAGTAAACTAGAGTTATTTAATTATTTAAGCACTACTGCATATCAGGCTTTTACACCCACAAACCCCTGCACTTACAGAACCTTCTTCTTCCACGTCTAAGCTGTACGTGAGGGAGTCGTCTGCAGACACCCCGCTGGGTGGGCTCCACCTCACGGACAGCCAGGTCACTCCTGCCTCCACCAGCACTGGGGGCGCGGGGGCCGCTGGGACAACCCCTGCTGTGTAGTACGTCACCGTCTCGCTGAACCCACTGGGAAAAGATTCATTAAAAATATTAACAGCAGCAGAGGCAGACGATGGAGAAAATAAGCGATGTGATACACTGTGTTCATTACCTCATTCCAATATCGTTTTTAGCAGCTAATCTTAGTGAATATTTTGTAGAAGGAGAGAGTTTGGTAAGTTTATACTGCTTCAGATGCCCGTAGTAGCATTCTTTGAAGGGTCCATTCTTTCCCTTTAAAAAAAGTGAGAACAGCCTGAGTCACTTTTTGCATGGTAACTGTATGTTCCCTGCTAAGGTCAACATCTTAACTCTAAATTTTCCTAAATTCAATTTGACTAATTTAATAATAATTTAAAAACCAAATCAGTAAGCCTAGGTAACAGAAAAAGCTAACGTTATCATGGTCGTACTGAGTACGCTGATAGTAATCCTGAGCATTCTTGACAATAAAACCACATTTTGATTGAGATATCTGTTGACTTTTTGGCACTGTAGGTGTGACAACATGGTAATAAATGACCGCAATTGAAAACAAAACACATTTTTGATGTTTTTTATCACATTGGAATGAATACATTTCAGTAAGAAGTTAAAAAGCTGAGAGGTATTTGTGACAGCTACCAAAGATACAAGCCAAATGCTCACCCATTCAAACAAAGCATAGGAATTAAAGATGCTCTGAATAAAAATCACCAAATGAGGGAGTTTTACACTGTCCTCTCAGAGGATCTCACAGGATTGTCTACTGGAATTGCTGCAATACTGGTCATTTCAGTCAAGCTTTTCAACTGGCTTGTCCCTTTAAAACTGTCTGGGCTGTTGCACTGAAAATAGCTGATGTACCTAAGCAAAAAGTATTTTTAAGGATAATTGGTCTACAGATGTCATTATGATTTTTTGCACTAGAAAAGGTCTTACCTCATCCCATTCTAAAAGAAAATTAGTTATTTTGGAACCATTGTCATTTGAGGACTGCAAATAAAGAAACAATGAAAAAAATTAAAATCAAATGGTTGTACTTTGTAAGTATTTTTGCACATTAAGAAAACCAACATGGTAATTGAATACAGCATATTCTGTCTTTTAAAACAAAATATTTAGCGTAGAGCCGAAAGAAAACTGCAGCAGGCATCCAAACAGCCCTCGTCTTCCACAAACGCACCTGTGGTAACCTGAAACTCTACTGTGGGCACAGATTCAGTGAACTGAGTTAGAAAGAGTAAAAACTAGCAGCGAGTTTAACCAGCTTAACTCCTTATGAAAAAAGTTAAAATCAAATGGTTGTACTTTATAAGTATTTTTGCACATTAAGAAGACCAACATGGTAACAATTGAATACAGCATATTCTGTCTTTTAAAACAAAATATTTAGCGTAGAGCCGAAAGAAAACTGCAGCAGGCATCCAAACAGCCCTCGTCTTCCACAAACGCACCTGTGGTAACCTGAAACTCTACTGTGGGCACAGATTCAGTGAACTGAGTTAGAAAGAGTAAAAACTAGCAGCGAGTTTAACCAGCTTAACTCCTTGTTCCTGTTGGCTCTCCAAGCTGCTACACTACTTCTATTAATAGTTTAGAATATGAATTTATTAATACTTTTATGAACAATACAAATGATAGTCTTACACCTTTTTTTGTCTGTGTGCTTGCACTGCGTGTTCACCAACTGCCTGAACAATGCACGCAGTCAGACAAGCAACGTTTCTGCTTGTTATGACATATGAATTGGGACAACCTTTCCTCTCTGAGTACAGATTATACAAATAATTTAAGTAATTAAAGTAATACAAATGATAGTCTTACACCTTTGTCTGTGTGCTTACACAGTGTGTTCACCAACTGCCTGAACAACGCACACAGTCAGACAAGCAACGTTTGTGCTTGTTATGACATATGAATTGGGAACAACCTTTCCTCTCTGAGAACAGATTATACAAATAATTTAAGTAATTAAAGTCATTTAGCTATAAACTGTTTTCCAGATGTAGGTGTAGTCATAAGAAAAACAGAGCTGTCAACAAGTCTTCACAGATACAAAAGTCAGATTCACAAAGTTAAATTTACATACAGGTGTAGTCATAAGAAAAACAGAGCCGTCAACAAGTCTTCACAGATACCGTATATATTCAAAAGTCAGATTCACAAAGTTAAATTTACAGAAAGCCAAGGAAATTCACTACTAGTTGGTTAGAGTAACCATGAGAACTCTGAATAATAACATTAAGTTATATCTATTTATCATCCAGGCACCCCAAGCAAAACCACACAAGTGCTTTATCCCTTCCTGTGCTGTCGAGTTGGTTAGAGTAACCATGAGAACTTTGAATAATAACATTAAGTTATATTTATTTATCATCCAGGCACCCCAAGCAAAAACACACAAGTGCTTTATCCCTTCCTGTGCTGTCAGTTCAGGAGAGAATGTTCCTACTGAATCATTCATACTTGGACCTGCTACCAGCTCTATCACACTAAAGCTGTACACAAGAAACTAAGCAAGCAGCAGAAGAAAGAGGAAGAAACAATCATGACTTCAGTGATCAGTAGTGCAACTTAATAGCCAACACCTGAAGTACACACTAAATTATTGACAAAGCCAATTTCAACACCCCACACAGAAATGCAGCAGACCACTCACCTTCCACTGCAAACTCAGGCTGGTTTTGGTTCTGTTAATCAGCTTCGGTGCAGCTGGGCTGTCTGGCTCGCAACTTTCTGTAGTGAAGCTCACTAATTCAGAAATGGATTCTTTTATGGAACTGCTGGTTGCTGAAACTCTGAACAAAGGACAATTAATTAAAAATTAATTAGTGCTGACAGTGCAGCATGAGGAAGGTCAGAACTGACTGATCTTGAAGACTCTACTTGCCATCCATCATTTACTTTACAGTTATGATCTCTCACCATGGAGACGTTTGAGTTATGACATGTGGGAGGCATGATGAAAACTACAGCAAGTGTTACCAAAAGGAAATGGAATACCCGACTTGAAATTAATCTTTTGCTACAAAGTCCTTGAGATTCAAATACTGACAACACTTGTGCAAGAGCACGGACACTAAAATGGGCTAAGTCAGCTGTTCAGGCAATAAAGCCACGTTTATCAGTGTAACTGTTCAAATGGGAATCTCTAGAACCGTCAGGCTCACTTATGTTTGTTTTTGAAGAGCAATGACATGAATAATTTTTCAGAAATACAGTCCATCTTATCAAATGAATTGCAGGTAAAAGAAAGTTGGCCTGTATGGAAAGCAACACCATGAACCAAACGCACACTGCACTGTGCAAGCGGAGCTGGGCTGGGTGTTTAACACACACACAACTGTTCTGCAGTTGAAGAACAGGAATTTGGTTCAGTAAGTTCTAAAATTTGTCTTCTCCTGTTCCCAAGTATCAGGGCTCTCTCCTCTACTCCTGGATCACAGTGTTCTCCTGGCTTGTTTAACCAGCTTGCCTTTTCCATGGCCAGTTGCACACCTTCTCCAGAAATGCTTATTTACTCTGTGGGGCAATTCTTCAATGTCACGTCCCCTTGTAGCACAGCATATAACTTCTCCCCATTTAAACCAGTTTCCACTTCCCTTCCTGAACTGCTACAGAAGCTTGCAGTTTAGAGAAGCAACTTCACAAATCAAGCTGACGGGTCAGACTTGCAAAGCCAAGTCTGAATTATTTTATTTGCTGCTTCCTTCAGCCTGCAACACTGGGAGCAATCTAAAAAATACCAGAGGATAACTTAAAAGTTTCTATTTCAGAGAAACAAGAAATGACAGAGAAGATAGCAGGGAAGAAAATGAGGTGACATGAAATTAGAAGGTAAGTGCGAATTTAGAAAGCAACAGTAATGTCCCTAGCTATGACATTTCATGCAGAATATTTCTCAAGTTGTTTGTGATTGCACTTTTCACGAAGCCACAGTGATTTTGTAATTAACATGTCAACAAAAGCATTAAGTATTTCATTCCCAGAAACATACCTGGCATGATAATCGGTTGCTGGTCTGAGATCAGGAAGTGTGATTGTTAATTCCTCCCCACTGTGGAAAGGAATAAAATAATAGTGAGTTACAGCTTTTCCTTATACTTCAAAGGCTAAAAGCTTATTGAAAAGCAAAACCATGTAGCGCACATTTAATTTTCAAGTTTTCCATTGTCCATGTAACTCTTAGCGATATTACTTAAAATTTATTTCACGTGAAGTAGGTAGGTCTGCAAGTCAACAAACAGCTCCTGATAGAGAGATTGCTGATTGGTTAATGTTTTTAAACATCGGTATTGTGCTTAAATGAAGAAACTAAACTTACACATAGACAGATTTAAATTTTCCATTTTTACCACTGTTGGATATTGCTACTTCAAATGTAAATGCTGCTGGACTATGACTATGGCTCTCTCCATTCTGTGAACTAACTGGGAGATTCCAGGACAGAACGGCTGATCTTGCTTGTATATCAGAAACCTATTAAAAGCATAAATAATGCAAGTAAGTTTGCTTTCTGTAATAAAAGGTATATTAGTCAATAACATGGTGTCGCTAGTTTCCCTATGAAGTTCCTCACGGGAGGAATTCTTTACCTTTGTCGTGGAAATACTGAGTCATCATTTGAATTTAAACTTTTCCCCTCTTAATTTCTCAAATACCATATTAAAGGATTTCCCTTCAGACACTAAACAAACTTATAGACACACACTGCATCGTCTCAGTGTATGAAGAGAGAGTTTGTTTCACCTGCCCCATCTGCATCACTCATTTGGAGCAAAATTTCAGATTTGGAGTCTTGAACGCTGACACCAGATCTCCAGGCACAGTCAGATCGCCTAAATTACTAACGCTATTACAACTCTCTCATGTAATCTTAACATTCAACCATGGAGCTACACAATACCACGAGGTTCTGATTTTAAGTGCTCACAACTGAAATTTTTGGTCTAAAGTTTTTTTGCTGCTTAATTAAATTTTCTCTGTCACCGTGGCCTTCTGTTAGCATTAAGCACAGATGTCAAAAGCAGCAATGAAAATACTAACATTACAAGAAACAGCTAGAAAGCTGGAGCAAAAGAATATAACCCATGCTTACTGTATAGATAATGCAAAGAAGAGTCTCATTAAGCACACTCGAGATCAAAAATACCAGTTTAGTTTTAGCCTTTAGGCATTCAAATTGACACCACCAGATAGCAACCTCCTCAGTAGGTCTGCAAATACTCAAATACTTGCTCCAATTTCTAAACATAACATAAAAAGTTGATCTATTTTTGTAAATTCTATTCCCAATATTCTCAAATCCTCCATGCTGAGCGAAGGATGGTTCCAAGAGTTGACAGACTTCCTTTACTTTAGCAGGGCTCTCTCATATATTAAGACAAATTCAACAGTGGATATGCCCTTTGCTTACAGACTGGGAAAGAAAAAGAGTCGGCTTCAGAAAGTTGAGAAACAATGGGTTTCTACAGCATGGCTATATAAACTCTGACAACTAAAAGACATTTTCTCTATCTAAAAAGTAAACCATTAAAAAAAGAGAGAAAGATATCAATAAGGCACGTTATTTTACAGCAAGCATACGCATAGAAAATAATGGTATTTTAAGGCAAATACTTACGACTGGCTTGCCAATGCTCAAGTGAATATCACATTTCTTGGATTCTGTGTCGGATTCTGAAATTGCAAATACAAAACAGATTACCAGAAACCCCAAGAGTAAACCAGTCTATTAGAAAAATGCCACCACAAGATGGAGTTCGCCTCATTAAGAGTTTAACAATAGTACTTATTGTGCAAAGTTCATTTCCCCTGTTTGTTTTGGCTGCCTGAAGGGTAGAAACATGAACTATCCAAAACTAACAGTGTTACAAAAACCCTTTTAGTACATCCTGCACAAAGGGTATATTTTCCTAATCTGAGCATAAATGGGTTTTCTTTGACAACACAAAAACACTCCTCCAAAAATGAAAGGTGTTAAAAAAATGACAATAAGATCTTATCTCTGTTGTACGTGCCTTCCTTGAAATTCTATTGCAAAACACTAGGCATAATTTGGAAGAAGCCTGATCAAAACCGCACGCTAGAAATACCTACAGGTACCGTGGCAGTTGCATCTGTAAAATGAATTGTCCATGTTGAACGACCTGGGATGTTATTCTGCCCACAGATAGAATATTACATCCCCACCCCCCAGCTAATAGATTTGTATTAAGGCAAATCTTTAATCAAGTACAATTTTGCCCTTGAACCAAGCTGGATACAAGTTAAATACAGCAGTGACACAGATGAGGACTGGACCCTGCAGCCCAACCAGACCACTTAATTTAAGCACTAAAAGATGCACAAATCATTTCAGGAGCTGTGATAAGAAACTGCGTTTCAGCGACACCGTTTCAAACCGACAGGAAAGACAAAGATACTGTACACAAAATATTCTAGCATATGCACGTAAATAACCACAGGCTATTAAAATGCTCAAATATTCATCTGAGCAAAATAATGCAGTGAAATTACAGCTGATCGAACAGCAACCTGTAGAGTTGCTCGAGCCTTCCTACTTCTTGAAGTTTTCAGTAACTCCTAGTTATCTGAAAAGTACCACAAGGAATGACACCAGAAGCCTTTTACGAAGTACCCACAGGTTATCCTCTCTTGGAATCCTGATCAGTTCCAGGTCAGGAAAGGCGGAGAAGTACACAGATCTTATTTGATAAATCTCACATGTACAGACTTGACATGACTATTATTTCTAGGGGAAAAAAGATCTAAACTTAATGAAAAAGTATTTCAGGCTTTCTCTACTCCTGAACAGCCAAAGACATTTTCAAATGCAATTTTTCAGAAACTATTTTGCAATGAACTCTTAGCATCTCCTCTTACAAAAATACCTACATTTTAATTTTTTATTTACCCCTTCAGTGCAACCTACCTCCCATCTCCGCATCTGGGCTGCCCTTTGTTTTTCCCATCTGCTTCTGCTTTAGCAGTCCACCTGCCCCTTGCTGTCCCTTTCCATTTCCATTCTGAATTGCTGCATTGGATGAATTAACGACTTTATGTGGTGAAGATGGAGGGCTGTTAAGTTTATTGTTAGTATGACCACTAGCTTGTCTGTCTTTTAGTCTTTTCTTCAGGTGTTCTTGCATTTTGAGACACCTTTCATCTCGCTGAATGAAGTTTGTCCTTCCATGTGAACGAGGTTCTACAAAGAAAGAAGAACTTATTATTCATTACAACTTACTTGACATCTGAGAAATGCTCTGTAAGTCAGAAGAGTAACTACAGTAAAACTAGTTTTACAGGCAGAGCTTCCCTAGACTGAAGGAACCTCACTTGACAGCATTTATGGCCTGGACGCACATCAGTGTATAAGCACAAAGATCAGGCAGTAGAAGAATGGCACCTGGAGGTTTAATTCTTGTTTTGAAATGCTGTCAGTATTAGTTAAATCCTACAGTAAGAGACAAAATATCTGCAAGCAAATTTCCATTTTTTCTATTTAACCCATATCCAAATTGTTGAATTTTTTGGTTTTATTTTTCTTAAAAAATTGGTTTTGATCACTTGCCGAATTGGTTTTTCTATTATTTAAATCTTCAGGCCTTTCTCTTTTGTTAGCTGCTCAAAACTATGCCTTACAGTTGCCGTTCTTCCCTGATATAGCCGTACATTTTCAGAAGCGTAAGCAAATTTAGGACCCAAACTAACTTTTTAGCACACAGCTTGGGCGCCACCCTAGACATAAGCCAAAACAGATTAATTACCAATTTAAGCTTGAGAGAGAGATAACGAGTGGTCTTACATAGTCTAATTTCTTTCTGTGTTAAAAGCTTGTTTATAGAATATGGCTTACAGCCTGGTTTACTTCAGCAGTGACCTCAGTCCCCCACTGAAGTATTGCTTCATTCAGTTTTTAAATACAGAGTGGACTTGCACTTCACCCCCCAACATTGATTACTGTGGGTTTTGGTTTAGGTATGTTATTTTTATTTTCTTTCCAGTCATATTTGGACTCTGTCTAGCCAAAAAAATATACACTCATGTATCAAATTAAATGCATTTTCAAAAAAGTTCATGCCAAGGTCGTGACAAAACACAGTTTTGAAGAGCACAATTTTAGAGAAAAGCAGAAGCGATCATTTTACAGCAACAAAAATAAGGATTCAGGAATACAGAGTATTTAAACACTTCAAAGTTACTGCTTTTGCATTAAATACTTAAAACCAGAGAAGATTTAAACTTCATACAACCATACTTTGCACATGCAGAGTGCCTTCAGACCAGGCTTCATGATACCTTATACACAAGTGTATTTTAAGATACCCCATAAACATATCTAAGGCTCAGTTTAATTAACTAGCACCAAAATCACAGAAATACTTAAGAGCTAACGACACAACTCTTCTGTCTCAATGCAGATGCACTCAGTGAAAGGCCTCTCGAGTAATTAAACATCACTGCGACCTCACCTTGTTCTTGAAAAACGTGCGGTGGTGGATGCTGGTGAATGAACTGTGGTGGCAGCTCTCCTGTGCCAGGAACTGGAGGGTACACTGGGTGCGGTGGATGAGGAAGCAAAGCGTGGTGATGGTGCATGTAATGTGGCACGTGGGGAGGAGGAGGAGGAGGATGCATGGAAGGATGGAATTCAGCCGAGTGCGGCAACACCACCACTTTACGAACTCCATTTTCTTCCACCACCTGTCACGCAACAGAAGAAATGAAACATGAGTGCAAAAATCATCTTGTAAATATTGTATACACACCAAAATGAACCCCAGTGGAAACCCAACATGTGTTACTGGAAGAAACTGGAGTTTCATGCAGTCAGTTTTATGAAGCTGAGCCACACATACTGAAGTGCTGTGCAATCTATAATTTATGAATAACATTACACGCTTTTAAACAAGTAAGGTGAAGTGATTGGGGTTGAATCCCCAGTCTACTTGTAATTACAGTCAGAACTGCTTTAGACCACGTCCTGACAGCACTACCGTACGTACAAGCGGCAGCACACCCTCTGATTCGTGGTACGTGGCTGTGTACACTTTCTTAGCCCACGGCAAGCACAAAGCATCACGAGCCAGCTCTGCTGTCTTGTACTGTGATCCAACCCAACCCCAACATCGAAACACTTCATGTTGGCTAAGGGAATTCAGACAAGGAACATGTCTGTGCATCTGAACTCTACGATAAAAAGATGCTAAGACAGCACATGCATATGTATACACACATGAACATCATAGCATGTGTCCTACACTGGCAATACACAGGCTCCTTCTGGAGTCTAACTCTGCCAGCCAGAAATACATGAGTATTGAAATGTATTGCTCTTCCTACAGTAAATTTACAGTACATTAATGTTGTATACAATAACACTTATCAATCTTAAATCTGAGACGAGACTTTGGACAGAACACAGGTTTTAGAAGACAAGGTCAAAAAAATGACACCAGAGCAGGATTCACAAGAGGACGCATTAAATGATGATGATACTGAGGTAAAACAATGCCCCGTTCAGTCCTGGCTTTAAGACACCTGGAACAGATGAGCATTGGCTGAGGTTTCCAGGACTGACAGAACAGACACAGGACATCTGCACTGATGTGGTGGTGTCCTCCTGTGCTTACAGTCCATTTTGCTTATCTAAGGGATTAAGTTTTCAGCACCTGCACTTCTGACAGGGTCAAAGGCTTCCGAATTGACCATCAGAGAAATCAGCAGTTCATTTCCCAAACTGTTTCTTCCGTCACAATACAGAAGTCCACTGGCATAAAATTCAGACTGTATCTAATGAGAGGTGTGACTCAGAAGCAAACTAGACGGCATTAAATCCCGTTTTCTCCCTCACAACAAAAAATTTAAAGAGGTATGAGCGATGTAACTGAAAAAAAAATCTATTATATTAAAAAAAGTTCAATATTAGAGGCAAACTGACAGTTCCAGCAGGAAAACCAAGCATGGCTTATAATCGGTCTGTAGCTTTATGCTTCCTTCCTTCTACATCAGTCATCGACTCCGAGTTGCATTTAAAAATGCAAGTCACAGATGCTATTAGGCAGGGCCCTACAGTGCTTCAGTATTAACAGAGGTGGATCATGCAGTCAGTGGAACATACTATCCACAGATGCAAGTGGGGGGCTCATTCCAGCTGCAGGCTGGCATACAAAATTGAGATTAAAGAAAAAAAAAATCAATATTGTTTTTTAATGCAAACCATAAAGTAAATAATACAAAATAACATGTGCTCTTAGAAGATTTCAACTTATTTACGAAGACCTCTTTCTAAAAAAAGACACAACGTACACTTTCAGGTGTTTAAAGAAAGCACTTACACAAAAGCAGGCCATTTATTTTAATCTGTTAGTACCTTCAAGATTCTCTCCTAAAGGCATGTTTAGTTTGGCTGTAAGTAATCACTCCAGCACTTCCTAGTTGGCCAAAAAGGCATTCTGGATGCTGAAATACTGCTTACACCAAAAGTCCATTTTGAAAAGCTCCTCAGCAAAAGGCATAACAAGAAATTATTCTGAAGGGAAGCAGAATGCATCCACTCAGAAACTGCTATGACAAAGTTCTGCTGTGAGACAGCCTCAGAGTCAGCTGAACTATGAGCACTTCTTAACAGACTTTAAATAGAGGAAGAAATACAAGAAATCACTTAAGACTGAGCTCACACTGAATACACTTTGGTCTAGAAACGATGAGAGAGGCTTTTTGGTTCATCAATAGAACTAAACACACCACTTGAACTACATTACATGGCATAATATCACAGCACACTATGACATATAAAAGTCAAAGCTCATAGCAAATTGTTATGGCTACCTTAACTCTATTTTATGTGTATCTTAAGCAAGAACACATGGCAAAAGTTTCAGATAGAAGGGATACATTCATATAATAAGACTTTTTTACATGATTTTACAGTCTGAAGTTCCTATGTCCCTGTTAACCACTACCGAAACGTTTCACTCCACTTAGGCAGAAATCAACATAAATTATCCCTGGCTCTGCCAGAACTTTTGGGAACAGAAAGTGAAAGTCTCATCTGCCGACAAAAACCATGTGAGTATCTCAAGCTCCAATTTAAAGCTGGTTTCAAACTCAGTCATTATTGCAGGGACAGACAACGGAAAACCAAACCAAACCTCCTGTTTTCATGTGACAGCAAACACAGAACAAATGTGTTTTAGTTTGTACACCTCAGCTTTTGCCAGTGCTTTGCATAGTTCTTGTACTGAAGACTCAATTTCATATTGATGCATAAATTGTCTGGGGGCTCTTTCTTCAGGGTCTGCATGAAAAGTACCTATTTATAACAGCAGAAGGACAAAACACAGAGACAGCTGGATGCAACAAGACAATGGCCCAGGGAACTCAAGAACATGGTTACGAGGTTTTCAAGCCTGCTCAGAAAACTCCCAATTTTGAACATCTCTAGAAAATGAGACACCTAAATATTTGTTTTAATTACTTCCCTTTAAAAATGCATTTATTTAAAATTAAATCAAGCTGGTAACTGTTACCAGAGATATTTCAAGTTCAAATACCACACACGGGTCTGATCTGCTGTGACCGAACAACGCAGAGGAGTGGAAAATAGGTGAGAATGGAAAAGTAAAGCTGAGAGAGCAGCCCAGAGTCCTGCTCGTTTCGCAGGCACACGTCACTGGCACTGACACTCCTCTCCATGCTTCTGCTGTAACAGTAGAGTGTTTTGCTGAATGTTAAGGAGATAAGAGCTGGTAAAGAAAGGGGCATTGAAAACCTTCAGAAACAGAGTTATACTAGAATAGAAAATCTGAATTATGAGATGATATTAAAGAGAAAAATCTTATTCAGTCCAGGAAAACAAAAATATCTAAGGGATGTAAGAGAGAATACTACTGGTGTATGACCCATATAACCTCAATGTAAGGAACATGAGTCTCGTATCCATAGTATGTGTGAGTCACGTTCAATTCTGATGCTGCTCCCAGCTCTGTTCCCATCAGAGCCATGCACTGTCCATACTCATCAGTCCCCCGACACCCAGCAGGCTGCAGTCAGCTCTGGTTGTTCGTATGACCCAGGCACCTACTTTCACCTTGAAAACAGGATTGAACAAAAATCCAGATGGGGATCCTGCTAATGGAGCTCAGCCAGCCAATTCAGAGCCACTGACTATCTTACCAGTAGTATTAAACAAAAATTCCTGAAAACTAGATCAGATTTTACTAAGTGAACAGAAGGTGATAGACCCTACAATAAGGTATGTTAAAGAGTTGATAAGTTCAATGGAAAAAGGATAAGGAATTCTTTTAACAGCTGTTCCGGATAAAACAATCAACAGCCTTACTGTTAAAAAGCCACATCCACAAGCATACTGAAATACAAGAATAAACTGAAGCTTACCTGAGATACGTAACCGGGAGGCACAAATATAGGTGGCATAGACCCATTTGGTGACATCATCGGAACATGAGCTGGACCTGAGGAGCAACAAGGTGCCACTTTTGAACAAATGAGGCTTTTACAAACTCCAGACACCTTTTTTTCAAAGGTGGGGGCTCACTTTAGTGCCTGAAAAGCCAGCAACTGCATCCACCTCTGATTTATGGAATCACCTTTAGACGAGTACATTTAGAAGCAAGCTTAAACTATGCAATTAAAAAGCCAGGTAGGAGAGAAATTAAATAATTAGGACCAGGAGTTAAAAACAAAAAAGTGACTGCACCAAGTTTCTATCAAGAAAAATAATGCAGTTTATGTCACTGATGGAGAACTCATTGTCATGTTCAGAAGATACATTAAGTATGACTTCATAACTTTCAGGAAGCATCCAGATTTTAGATAGGTAATACTGCTGAATGCAAATATGGCCGTACATTTATTCTACAAATAACACAGACTAGATTTATCCCAACCACTGTGCTTTACAAAACCGACAGTACTGCTTTTAAAAATCAGCACAGATAAATTTAAGTTCTTACGCTGTGACAGAGTTAGAAGCCTGTATCAACAACATTGGCACCACAGTAATGTTGACAGCTGCTCTCTCTTTTATTTTTAATATATTATTTTTAATATCTTATTTAATATCTTATTTAATCTTATTTAATTTTTAATATCTTATTTTTCACATCAAGCTGAAAGAAAGTATTCCTGCCTGTGTTCTGATGAAAGCAGAATGGACACTTTTTATATAGTATCATTTGGTGAAATGATCAAATGGTATCAAATATAGTATATACAGTATAGTATTTATAGTATATATTTGTATAGTATAGTATATAAATATAGTATCAAATGGTGAAAATTATTCAAAAAATGGAAGTACTGATGGATTAAACTTGACTTACAGGAGATGTTTTGACCTGATTCAGATTTGCAGCGCTGTCAGAAGGTAAAAAGGAGTCTGTAGCCACACACAGAGGGCAGCTGCTAATGCCACTACCTTACAGTTAAACGAGGTCGCACAGCGCCTATTAAACTTGTTTAGATTAGTGTGGACTAAATCCCATGTGTTAATGTTCTGAGAAGACAGTTAAAGATGATGCCTTTTATAAATTAGCAGCAAAGCCTGCAGAGATGCAGGGAATCCTGACAATTTCCCACTTCTGTCTCATTGGTGCTTTAAGTACAAACTGAAAAATCTGATTTATTACATAGCAGAACATATAAAAACACATTTGACATAACAGAAACAAATACTGGTAGTAATTCTGTGATATCTGCAGAATCATTGGAGTCAGTACTTCAGTTTTTACTTTACCTTGAATACACTGAATGTGTCCATCTTCAGTTGTAATTGTAAATGTTTCACCTGGGTTCACCTGTACAAGAATAACCTGCAAAAACAAAACATGAGAGGTTTTTGTTGGGTTTTATTTTTTTAATTTTTAGATATTTCCTGAGGAAGAACCCCATCTCTTCCATATACCACCATGTTAAGATTAAAACAAAAGAGCTTTGGCAACCTCAGAAAGTGAAAAAGGAAGATGAGAAACACCGACGGGCAGGATGAAATTTCTTCATACTTTGACATAAAAATCAGTAGTTTTGCATAATCAGTATTACTACCAGTAATCAGTACATAATCAGTATTAAATCACTACCAGTGATTACTACCAGAAGTGCTTCCCTCGATAAACTTGCAAAACCAGGACAACTTCAAATAATTAAGTTTTTATTTTCAATATTTTCACGTTGCTTTTTATTCTTCTACTTCATTAATTACTTAAGATACACCTTGCTTTCTAAGCTTTGCCTATGAGATTATTTCAGTTTCAGGGCTAAATTAGCAGAATCAAGACTATACAAACAGTGAAAAAATTAAGATGCTTTGCCCAAAAGCCATATTTTTTTCACTAAAAGCATGCTGGTATTTATTTTGGCAATATATTCTCTGACACTATCAAGTGACTTATTAGATGTATGCAGTCCTTCTGGGGTGAAGGAAGTGGTGAACCAGGTCACGCCTATCACTGCTGTACAGCTCCGGAAAGATCAGGTGCATTTTCTCATGTGTTTGTGTAATCCAGTAGCTAAAGAAATACAACAGCAAGGTCCTGCAGGTCTCAGTTTGGACATGACTGCATTCACTTTCACACAAATCGATGTGGACATCTGCCAGAATTATTCCTCAGGCAGTGCACAGCACCGTTTCCCTTGTGCTGGGGAACACAGACCATCACCTCGTTCTACTCCTTACCAGCTACAGATTTATTAAGCACGCATCAATTCTATTATATTGATAACTAATAAAAAGATCACTAAAAAGAATGAGATTTTAAAGGATGTCATGGTCCCTCACTGAACCTTTGCATTTTGACCAATTCCACTTATTCTTTTCTGAAGAGTTTGCCACGCAGCTTACGCTGGCAGTAATCAAAGCACATTTCTCCAGCTAACGTGTAAGAAAATAAGTACAAACACACCCACATTTCCCAGAGTTACAGCTTACGCCTCCTGCTTCTCTCTCCCTCTACTCTTGGGTGTGCAACTTCAGCACAGAGAGAGATTGAGGTCTGCACAGATCTGTTATATTTAAACTGTTATGTGGAAAGCCAGACTCACAGGAGCTGATTGATAAACGTTCAACACTGATTCTGCAGCTTCTGCATGCTGCTAATTAATGCTTTTACTTTTTAACAAGGTATGCAGAAGCACATAAGAACACTGACCCTGCTCCAGTGAGTTCACAACACAGGAGAATTTTACTTTAGATAGATGAGTTGCTTCTGGACATAAGTAAAACACCAGAACTGAAGCAGATTTATCATGTCAGTATGTAAGTAGATTTATGACTTCAATGTTACTGAACTTCTAGGAGTGAAGAGAAAGAAGCGATGTTAATAGTTTAAAGAAAACAGATAATAATGGCTTGGGGATTTGCCAGAGCACAAAGAACCAGGAAAGATGAGGCTGCTGGGGATGGACACCAGCGGGGACAGGACTCCACAGGCAGGTATTAAACCTCACAGCAAACAGCATCTTCGAGGGTAAGAAAATCCAGAGGGGAAAGGGATCTTTTTAGAAATTCAGAGCCGATGAACATGTCAGTTAATTGAAACCTGTTCTGAAGATTAAGTCCTCACAAACAGTTCAGGAAACTATGAAGTGAACTCAGGGAAAGGGATCAGAGGTGGTGTAATCACAGGGCTGCAGAGCAGTTCAGAGGCTGGAATGTCAGGAATGCACGGGGCAGCATCTTGGAAGAATGACTCACTGGAATTAATGAAGCAAATGCAGTTCCATCTACCTTCCACCAAGGAAAACTTCCAGGAAGCTGTTTCCAGAGTGTTTCTAAGTCAATCTAAGCCAAATTAGACAACAGATCAGTACTAGGAGTTGCAGTAATGTCTACACCTTCAGGTGTCCCACGTAACCATTTCAGAACAAAAAACCCTTCCAGAAACTTCCTTAAATGAAACTGATGCAACTGCATTAATAAAGCTTCTAAGTTAATACCCTATTTAAATGCTTTCCAATGTTAGACCGTGGCTCAGAAGCTTCTCCTCTCTAGAAAAACGTGCCACAAATGAGCAGCAAGTGCGTTTTTTGGGCAACTGAAGGATGGCAACATGACATGGTTCATATACAGACAGGCTAGGATGAGAAATGTTGGCACATCAACATGAAATCACAGTCCCTGTCTCATCAAGATTTCCACTGAACAGACTTATTTGTTATTTCCAATATAACTCAGCTGTAAGTCATGGGGACTCTCAGTCTTCAAAGTGTGCTCTTCAAATGCCATTTTCCCCACACATCTCCAAGATTCAACAGGTTTTTTTAAACTTCAACCGACTGCAAACAGTCTCCACTAGGTTCTGAAAACGTCAATGATTATCACCTTCTTTCGGGCCCTTTAATACACACCGATCTACCCCAAGATCTACTATACAAATACAGCTACAGAGATGGTCTCTAATTAGATCTACATAATCTCTTTTCCTTGTGTAACATGAAACACCAGCTACTGAATATCCTCACAGCTGGTCAGAGTCCAAAATTTCACACTGCCAATGCTAGAGCTTCAGAACCACCTTAGAGACTCCATAGCTTTACTTATTTCAAAACAGTCACTGTAATTTTATCCCCAGAGTATGAGGTAGAAAAAAAGCAAGGTCTATTCTTTTAATTAAAGGCCATTTTTACAAGCAAGGATACTACGATCCTTCCCCATCTGTAACAATGACAAAGTAAAGGATCTCTCATTTAAAATGTTTCAGGATTTATGGTCTATCTACCCACTGTACATTCAAGTGTGGCAAGGTCTTCGCTGCTACCCTTCATAATAATTTCATGTGATGGTTACCCTCTGTAAACTCTTATGCAACTTTCCCTTCTGGATTAACCCCTTCAAGTGCCAAACACTTGAAGTTATATATGGATCAGCTTAAAGCAGTGGGCAGAGTTTTGTACTTTGCTTCAATAAAATGATTATTTAACTCCAGGCACATAAAGCCTTCAAATTTACGGGTTTTTTTATCATAGGATCACAGAACAAAGGGACCTCAGAGCTCATGTGGTTCATCCTTTTGTGGGAAAGGGAGCCTAAATGAGATTATCCAGCACCCTGTCCAACTGCAGCCAGCCTAAACCCAACTATTTAGCTATTTAAAACACACACACAAACCTTTTCTCTCCTATCAGGACCAGTCACGTTTGTAGACGCTCTAGGGCAGGGGAAAGATGCTTCTTAATTTAACATCCAGTGTTAAAATGTCAGGGTGTTTGTAATATTTCTGAGTGCACTGAAACTCTATCCCCAAATGATGGGAAGGTATTTGTCATACAAGGCACTCAGCTTCTAATGCTCAACAGTAAATTCAACTTCAGGTATACTGACAACTTATACAAGCTTGTGCTTAATCAAATTGTTTTGCTTTCACCTTTTGTCTGCGTTTCCAATCATACCAGGTGCTTCTGAAGGGTTGTGTCCAATAAAATTCTAATGTTTCAACTAAATATACTCAAGTTTCACCAGTGCACTGTAATTATTAATGAAGATACTTAATATCAGGAAGCCAAGGTCTATCCTCCTCTCTACATTTCCCTGCAATAGGCTGCTTCGTTTAGAGCAGTGCAGCCACTTGCTAATCTTTATCAATTATTTTACATGAGCTTCAAGAAGAGCTTTCGAAACCTTAATGCTTTATTAAATCCATATGTTATATTTTTCCTTTTATTCTTTGATTCTGTAGTTTAATTTTAAAGCACTTCCATGCGCATGACATTCTTTCTAATCTGCAGTCTTTTCACATTTCCACTCTATTAATGTCGCATAGTTTTCTTCCTCTGTATTTGCACTTCTATTGTACTCACGATATCAGTGCTTTTCTAACTTTGCAAATCAGTACTGTAGCTTCTTTAATTTCAAGCCTCCTCCTCTTTCAGCCATGATATAAGCTGTAAAATAGTTTTTTCTATCTATTTTCTTGAATGCTTGAATGTCAAGCATACCAGCCGCTGGCACAGCTGTATATGACTAATGAAAGTGCAAGGGATTTACTTGCCTGTTGTATGCTGTCCCCATTAACCATATGAGGTAGAAGTGGCACTTCATTCAATATCGGCGTAGCTTCTAAAGGAGGCGGCTGGTCGGCCATCATGTCTGAAAACCATTCATTGACAACTGCTCACATCAACCACCTGCCGAAACAAAAAGAGCGCCAACGTCAGACATGGAGCTTTTCTTCCCCAAATAATTCTCTATTTCATTTGCCAAACTTGGTATGAATGTTTCCAGAAGAAAAACACAGCAGCGCCTTCAGGACACTGGGTTTTTTTGTTTTCTTATCCACAGAACAAACACTTGGACTATGCTATTAATTGAATCCTTTAATAACAATTTAAGAATACTTGAAAACTCAACAGGAAAACATCATCAGACTTCAACACTCCACAACCCCTCCCCAAAGATTTTCAAATACACTGACTAACTGGAGACAAAAGTTACTGTAAAACATTCACTTCCAGCTTCACTGCACATTTAAAAACTTGTGAAAACCGAGAGCTTAAAAGATATGGAGGGGATCACCTGTCACATACCCGAGCTCTTCACAACAGAGCACGGCCAAGGAGTCCAATTTATTACCCTGTATTTTTTTTAAGTACTGTACTTAAGCAGCACATATCCTTCTTCTAAAAATATGCTCTTTAAATATGCATCATGCATATTGAACTTGACATGCCACAAATGATGAAGTCGCTACATAAGTGATGCAATTCCACAGTACCATAATTTACACTTCTGCAGCACTTTACTCTTAATTTTGTACTTGCAATTTCTAAATTGCTCGTACTCCAGAACCCAGGTGTTGGGCCAAGTAATTCACATACTACATGTACATTTTGGACCCTGTGATGATCAAAAAACTGCAGAGTTTTGGGTTGCTAGTGAATAATCTGCAATAATAGTAAACCAAAATACAATCCAAATATTAGTGAATTTTCAGTGCATAGTGAATTTGGCATCCACAAACAGCACAAGATAACAGGATACAGGATATGCCGACATTTCCTTCTCCTTTCCCATTACCTCCTATAAACCCAGACAGAAGACAAAACGCAGTTGGGACAGTCCAATTCATCACATTAAAAACCAAATCAAAATCAAACCAAGACCCATTTCCCACTCCCAAATCTGTGCATGAACCAAGTCAATCTATACACAACTACCAAATCCTCAGGATTAATAATTTCTCCTGGCCCTAACTCATTTCATTCAGAAAAGGTCTGTAGTAGAAGTTGGGATTACAAGGATTTCTCCTGTATCACCATCGCAAGGTAAAGAGGCTGGTAGCATCCACTGGTAAAAAACACATTCTTGTTTGCAAACGCATGTAAAAATAACCAATACCATCACAGCCACAAAACTCAGCATAGCAAAACACCCAAAACTGCCAAAGAAACCAGCACTTTTTGCACACCAATAACTTTCCAGGTCTGCTCCAGTAAATTTTAAGAAGCCAAATATGACTGCACAGGTGCAAGAACCAGACACAACCTCCGAAGTTTAAATCTGTATCAGGTTTGACCTAAATATACTTAACTGCCGTAGCACATTATTTGTTTCCTGAAAATAAACCAAAACACTTTCTATCCTATTTGTCAGATTTTTAATTACCTCTGCCAAGGAAACCAACTCATCCGATTGTAAACAACTATTCCACTTACAAATACCTGCGTGGTAACACTGCCAGTCAGTACGTTAACATTAAGGCAGAAGTTTCCTCTGCTACACCTCTCCCATTTTCAGAGGTTTGGAGGTTGGATCTAAGTCTTAAGAGACGTAACAGGAATTCAGTATACACAGGCAGACTACAAGCACTTTAATTTATATATGCATGTAGACCCAATTTCTTTCATGAGAACCTCAAACACGACACAAATTAGCACTGAACGTAAAGGGGAAACCCCTTTACCGAAAAGCAACTACATCTGCACTCAAACATTCAACCAACCAAAATAACCAGCTGTAGAAAAACGTGTTCTGAAACAAGTCCCAGTGCCACCTGCAATTTTAAATAAATGTTCAAAGTTTCTATCCCGGTCTCCTACGTTGGCTGAATAAAATTCTCTGAGGCTTTGCCTACGTTAGTGGGCAGCACAGCGCAGTTAAGTACAAATTGCACAGCACAGCACCAACATCCACAGGGTTTTTCATCTACTGCCCAATGACACAGGTAGTATTTACATTTACACACACCCCCCTATGTTCTACTTCCTTAGTGCTGTAATTTCACATTTTTCAGCGGAAGAACTTAATATGTGGAGTAGTAGGAAACAAATGTTTTTATGCAGTTCATGACTATCTCCAAAAATAGCAAATACCATTTCAGGTCTCAGTAGGAATCTCCAGATGGTCAGAAAAAATAGAAGTACTTGCTAAACGAAACAATTTTATGGCTCTTGGGCAGTTTCACCTGGCTCAAAATGCTAACGTTTTGCTGTACAGCTGGGCTCAGACGGCTGCAAGCGGTCGAACACTAAAGATAAAGAGGAAATTCCCACTGCAGACCGATAGACTTGCAAAGCAACTTATTTTTGTTTCAGAGCACAGCTTCGTTCCTTGAAAATATTGGTAAGAAAGCAGCAAGAGACAAAAGGTACCACATCTGCTGGTAAATGAGCATGGGACTCAACCCCTCCACAGAGTAAAAAGTAAAATTTTTCAAGGGAAAGAAAGCTCTCCCGCTAAATATCGTATCAATGGGTTCACCTCTCAGAAGTTTCCATTTCATTCAAGGAAGTGGGTGGTATTTGGGTAAACAAAAAGAGAATTCCTGAAAAGTTATTACATATTCAGCACAATTTCCTGAAAAAGTAAATAAATAAAGAGAGACCTATCTTGAGAGGCCATTACCCGCACCCTCCTACTGCTGGCAGGCTGCATTAACATTAGAGATGAGCAAATACACACAATTTTAAATTCTAGACTAAAAATAAACAAGAAAAGATCCCATCTGCAAGCATTAAAGACTTAGGCAAATTCTGTAGTTTTCAAAGTTGCAAAGGAACATACTGAGAACTGGTGAATCATTACATATGAATCAAGAGCAGAATTTGTAGAGGCATTTTCTAGAGTTTTGTCACCATGCACTGGAGATTTCTGAGTCAGGATGGAATTAAACAGATTCATGTTTGGAACGGTTACATTTCGCAAGGGTACTTCTGGCCTGATTCATTTCTTGACAGTGGTTTCTATCAGACATCAGCTAAAGGTCATTCCCAAACTGTGTCTGAGCTGAAGGATGAATTCGGCCCTTACAGCACGACAGTCATTTAAAAAGATACATAATTGGGACTAACCATCCCAGAAACAAAGCTACTGAAGCACTGTTTAAGCAAAGTTGAAGGAAGAAATGCAGTATCTACTAAGTTAACAGAAATCTATACCAGAAATGGCGTGAGCTGCTGCTTTCAAAGATTATTTGTTCAAGACACACGCATCTCTGAAAAGCGGAAATATTTTGTCATTTATTTGACAACATTAAAAAAAATTACACAAAAGAAACCCGGTTCAGATTTTAAAAAATGTACTCTGAGAAGCGTTCCTGAGTAATTCACCAGTGCGCTAATGGAATACGGTTAATCATGTTAACCATATTAAAAAAAAAGGGCAATATTTTCCACTGACAGTCTCGCACTACAAAGGCTTCTAAGAAAAACAGAAAATCTGAATGAGCAGCCTTCCAGAAAACAATTACAGCACAGAGCGGCTGTGCCTGACCTCACTTCCTGACACCGTAAAAATGCCGAGACTCTGGAAGACTGAAACACTGGCCTTCCCTTTTTGCCAGCCCAAATTCTTCTCAACCAGCACTGCAGTCATCCTGGACCCCGTCCAGCTCCCGAGGATCCGCACTGAACTCAGTGTTCATTGATTCCTGCTCACTCCCAGATGAAATCAGTGCCTCAGCCGAGGAAGCCGGGCTCTTATTTACATACAAAACTGCTTTTCTGGTTCTATGTAGGGAGCACAATAACTAAGTTAGCTAACTCAAGTCTACACGATACTAAATCATCATATCTTAAAGACTGGAAAATGTCACGGATTCTCAGGAGACATTTTGAAATTAAAATAGTTTAAAAGCATTATTTTTATTTTTATACATTTATAGCATATATATATTATTTAATCACAATTCAAAGTGAAATAACTATGCAATTCTAGTACATGGGAGTAGTTACTGCCCAATGTTTACTAAAACCACTAGCAACAGTGGTTACTGCATTACAAAGCCTCCTTTAGCCACTCGCCCATGTCCAACTCAGTCACTTCCACTCAGATGACACAACACAAACAACTTCAAAATTCAGTAACAACGACTTCAAAATTCAAACTGTAATATCCAAGAAAAAATTATGTCTGGAGTGATCTCCCTGTATAAGCACACCGCTTCTGTTGTATCAATCCCTTTGGAGCAGTCACCAGTAAACACCAACACTACAGCAGCAATTCCACAGAAGTGATTTCTCTTTAGGCAGTAACAATGAGTTTGCAGTTATTTATGTGCTGGGCATGTAAAAACAAAGAAAAGTTTGCATACTCGTTAAATGTGTTGTATAATACCACAGAAAATAAGAAAAAAATTCATATATTGAAAAATCACTTCTCAATTGGAATTATATCCTTTAATCATATCAACAGATTATCTATTGTGCAAATCTGCAGCAGTTTTATGGATTTAACAAGTTTTTGAAATCCTGTTATCTCGTAATTAAATAAATTAAAAATTAAAATTAAAAATTAAATAAAGATGATCAAGGGAGTGGAGCATCTCCCTTCTGAGGAGCGGCTGAGGGAGCTGGGTCTCTTTAGTTTGCAGAAGAGGAGACTGAGGGGAGACCTCATTCATGGTTATAAATATTTAAAGGGTGAGTGTCACGAGGATGGAGCCAGGCTCTTCTCGGTGACAAACAATGATAGGACAAGGGGTAACGGACACAAACTGGAACACAGGAGGTTCTACTTAAATTTGAGAAGAAACTTCTTCTCAGTGAGGGTGACAGAGCACTGGCCCAGGCTGCCCAGAGAGGTTGTGGAGTCTCCTTCTCTGCAGACATTCAAAACCTGCCTGGACACCTTCCTGTGTAACCTCAT